TGCTGGGATTACAGGCCAGGGCCACCATGTCTGGCCTTAATAGTGTTTCTTTCAGACTTTGTATTTTCTTTTTTGAAAAATACCTTTATTTTCTTAGTTGTAACATTAACATGTCATATACAGTATAAAAGTTGTTAGTTGAAATGTACAAAGCAAAAATAAAGCCATCAATACTACTCTACTGGATTTATTTGAACTGTTTCCGCCTTTCTTCCTTCCCTACTTCCTTCCTAACCCCCACGGCCCTTTTCTTTCCTCCACTTCTCTTGCTTAGTGTTACCTGTCTTACTAGTGAATAGTCACAGGAACTGTGGATTTGTAAGGGGCAAAGAGTAATAAGTAGAAAAGATAGACTAAAACAGGGATACAAAACCAAAGACCACCAGAAAAAAAGAAGTTAAAAACAAGCCAGGTATGGTGGCACACGCCTGTAATCCCAACTCTCAGGAGGCTGAGGCAGGAGGATCACAGTGAGTTTGAGGCCAGCCTAGGTTACATAGTAAGTTCAAGTCCACCCTGAACTGCGTAGTGCAACCTTGTCTCAAAAGAAAGAAGGAAGGATAGAAAGAAAGGAAGAAAGAATGAAAGAAAGAAAGGTTGTTTTCTACTTGCAAACAAAACCTACTATTGCCTTATTTGTCTGACCTTACTAGGAAAGAGTTGTTTCACATAAGAACATAAGGGAAATTTTCTAATTACAGATTTGTTTCTGTTTCCAGACAGTCTTTCTATGTAGCCCAGGCTGGCCTTTGAGACCAGCCTCAAAGTCAGGGTGATCTTACTGCCTCAGCCTCCCAAGTGCTGGGATTACAAGCATGCATCACCACACCTGGCTGCTACAGAAATATGAAAAAGTCAAGTTCAAATCTTCATTGTCTGAATTCTGAAATAAACATATCACTTATGAAGGAGGCCTCTCCCATTCTTTGTGGGAGGTCCTGTATGCAGATCTGTTGTACTTTAGGTTGGCAGAGAAATGTTACTTCTTTACAGAGAACAGTGACTGGGGATTGTAAGGAAGGTACAACTGAGACCACCAGGCTGTGTAAAGACAACATGGCATGGAATTGGTTGTGCATGGGTGCAAGCAGACAGAGGGTGGAAGGCCGTCTGTAGGAGCAGAGAAGGCAAGGAATGTTTGGTGGAAAGATCTTAGTAAACCTCAGTGGTCAGAGTTCTCTGGACATTTCCTGCCTCAGTGAGCAAGGTCCCTGAGGCGTCCAAGGTGAATGCTTGGGTGTCTTCAGATGTCCCACTGCTTGCAAGAGTCTGTGTTCCATCTTTTCTCTCTTAAGACACCGTGTGTTTGTGGAGGGCACCGGCGCTGAGCTGAGAACAGCGCCTCTGCTGGCAGACAGGTTGAGTATTGGGAGAGTCAGGTCTAATGAGTTTACAGGGATCTCAGGCAACAAACAACTTCTTGTAAACAGGATGCCTTATGAAACAGGTTTTCTCCCTAGGATCTCCACATACTATCCCTTGAGAAAGAAAGGATATAAAACAATTCAAAAATTATTATTAGGTGAGTCTCTTATTATAAAGAGTAGCACCTTCTCTTCAGTTCAGATTTTTTTCTGTTGCAGCGTTCCCAGAATCCCGTGGGCCTTCGCCATGACGGAAGTGTGTGGCGTGATTCTATGCTACATTTGGCTCCTGGTTCTTCTTCTTCACAAGCACAGGTACCTCACTTACAAGATTAAAAGACTCCCAAGTATTGTGGCTTTTCTATCAGGTCACCTAGCTGTGACTCCTGCCCTTGAATTTTTTGGTTACAGTAATTTTCTTCACTGGTCATTAGCAAAGGAAAATGTTTGGGGTTAGAGCAACAAAAAAATTAGCCTAAAATGAGATGTACCTATTTAGCAATATTCTGAATGTATTTTGCAAGAAAAGATCAGAGTTGGGGAAGATTAACCATGGGGCAGGCCTTGTCAGTCTGGCCTTGTTTGTTTGTTTTCTTTTTTCTTTTTCTTTTTCTTTTTCTTTTTCTCTTTCTTTTTTTTTATCTTTTTGAGACAGGGTCTTGCTGTGCAGTTCAGGTTGACCTTGAGCTGACTTTGTAGCCCAGGCTGGTCTGGAACACGCAACAATCCTCCTGCCTCAGCCTCCCTTATTACAGGCGTGTGCTACCACGCCCGGCTGTTTGTTTTCTTAAGAAACAAACTGGAAATGTCATTTTCTTCAGAAGGATAGAAACTCCTCCAAATAATGTTCAGATGGAAGAAGTTGTTCTCTGCTTGGAGGAGGCTCCTGTAAAAGGACGTTAATTTGCATACTGTGTGCATCTAGTCAGTGTACTTTACTTCAGATGGTGTAGGAAGTTGCTAAATAGGGAAAGTGCTTCTTGGCACCAAGAAATATAAAGGGGAGGGTTTTTTTTTTTAAATTAAAAAAGAAGGGAAGCATAGAGGAGAGGAGGCTTTATGGGAAAATTACTTGATTTAAGTAAAAAAAGGCGTAAGAGGAAAAAATTTAAAGAACTGCAAAATTTGTGGTTATCACTGTCCATTTTGTTTGGAACTTTGGAGAGGAGTAAGGGCTTTTATTGTAATTTTTAGCCTTTTTTCTGTTCCAGGAAGTGCTGAGGTAACCGCGCAATAGACTTTATGTCCGAAACTGAAGCTATTTTAGTACATCCAATGTGAAAAGAAAGGTTGATGATGACTATTCTTTTCATACTTTGAGACCATATTGAGACTCTTTCTGTCCCATTTTGTCTTATTTTACGACAATACTTTAAATTCTGGATTGCTTAAAGGCAGATGTGGTTTAAAAACATGCATTACTGCTGCTTTCTGGTTAGCTTTGTCTCACAAGACCCCATGGATTTGAACTTGCCCACTTTTTAAAACAAAAAAGGAAAAATGATAGGAAACCTTCATGTTAGCAAAACATAGTAGGGGCCAGTTAAATACAAGTGGTAGTGTTCACTTCGTCAAAGAAACTATTTCTTGAAGTAGTCTTTGCACCACTTCTCTTAAATCATCTAGAGGAATGTTAGAGTGCAGATGCCAGGCTCCAGCCCTGGCGTTTCAAAGACACCCACTCCTGTGGTCAGTGCTTGTTTTTTAGGGACACAAGACTATTTTGAGAATTTGTCAAGCAAAAGTCGCTGTCCCCAAGAATCTTTGTCTGGATTTAGGACATTTAAGTAAACAATATGATAGTATAAATGAATGTCATAGTGCAGTTCATGATTATCCAAATTACAGTTACTCTGAATTTTTGTTTTTTATGTATATATAATTTTTTTTTTTTTTTCCGGTCTTTTTGAGACAGGGTCTTGCTATGCAGTTCAGGCTGGCCTTGAGCTCACTTTGTATCCCAGGCTTGTCTCAAACTCA